ACAGGCTCAGTATCCAAGGTAAGGGAGATCTGGAGTTCAAATATCCACAGGCTCTCCTTCCCGGTTCGGGTGCTACCTTCCAAGCACTGTGAAGAAAGTAGGGGAGGGACAGGAAGGAGGCCAGAGGCCGCGTAGAAGCCGGATACCTGCTCCCAGTGCCACCATGGATGGGAGGGGCGGCGGGAGGGGGGTTATGTCCCAGCAGGGGGCCCCCAGTGAATCAGCCATATCTGCAGGGCCTGGGGACTCCACCCCTTTGGAATGGCAGCGCTTCGTCGGCTTCTAAAGGTGGCAAATCTAGTCACCTTTAAAAATGTAATATAGTCAGTGTTCATATTAATTTTGAAATGTGAATTGACAGACCAATGCGGTATTTTTAAATTAATTTTGAAAGACCTGATTTTATAAACCTTTGCAATTTAACAGAACTCGCCAAGTGGCAAGTTTCGTGTCACATTCTTCCTAAAGGTGTACAGAACGATGCCTTGCTTCTAACCATCTGTGAAAAATCCGCCACGCAACAGAAACCCGGGAATTGCTAACAATAATGGTGAATGTTCATCTCAAGCAAGCTACAGAGGGGAGTTGCTACGAAAGCAATCAACATCATTTCAGATGGGTCAAGCTAAAAATCCCATTTGGGAACATTTATTTTCTTTTTATAGCAAAGGAAAATGAATAAAATGGTTTATCGTTTTTAGTGCTGTAGAAGTACATACAATGAAAAGTGGCAAAGGTCACACAGTAGGAATTACTGGTGGAGCCAGTGAATCCTTGGACTTTCTTCCACAACGTTTCCTTGTTTGCTCATTTGCCCTTACATTTGAACACTTTACATAATCAGATGGTGTAGAATATTCCGGGAATCAGTGGGCAGAAATAAATGTGCCGAACTGAAACACGAACTGGCGGTTAAGAGCAGTGCTTATCTTTCGCACACCTCAATCTCCAGTGCTGTAGAAAACCCACAAATTATGGGGCAGAGCACTGGCTACTATGTACTTGGCACTGATAAATATACTATGTAGCTATGTGCCATGAATCCACAACCAGCAAGGGGCTTTCAAGGCAAGTGAGAAGCAGAGGTGGTTTGCCCTTGCCTTCCTCTGCCTTCCTTGGTGGTCTTCCATCCTGATTCTGCTAAGCTTCTGAGATCTAATGAGATTGGGCTGTACCACACTGCCTTCACCAGATACAGTACCAAAATTATACTGTGTCATATTCTGGAACAAAGTAAAAATAAAAAAATTAAAAGTAGATTCATTTATGTCATCAGGACATTGGAAAATTAAAGATCTAAATAAATATTAATAGTCTCTTTCAAAGTGTCCTTTATTTCTGTAAAGTGGGTAAGATAAACATGTATTTATCCTGACAGTTACATAGCATATAAATTCTAAAAAAAGGGAAGCAGCAGTCTTATTAACCATACAAGATACTCTTACTGGTTCATCTAAAGGGGGGGTGTTGTGCGCCGTCACATTGCAACTCTGAATTAATGACTTCCAAAATGCCCTACTGTTAATAGCCTGGCTCAGGTCTTGCAAAATGAAGGCCGGGACTTCCTTTATTGAGTCAATCGGTCCCATTGTGAGTCTCTCTCTTTTACTACTGCCTTTATTTAACAGGTAATGGCATTTTCTATAGTTAACATGCTTACCCCTCGTAGTATATTCATTGGTGGCAAAGCCAACGGAGCTGCTCTTCCTCCCTTTCATCTTGCAGTTGGTCTCGATGGGAACAGTGGGCTGTTCTCGGCAGTCCTTGAAGAGTCTCGTAACATAAGGCAGGGGGTCCCCACCCCAGAGTGGTTCCCGCAGGTCCCACGGTGCCCGACCAAGTGTGCATAGAAAGCGGGGGTGAGGCCAGGGGGCTCTTGCCCAGCTGGGCTTCTGATTGGCCAGTGGAGATCTGATTGACTGGGCAGATTAAAATAATGTTGTTTCTGCAGCAGCTGCCTGCACAGTGCTGGTTTTATTCTCCCTCTTTCTCTCTCTCCTCTTTCCTGGTTGATTTAAAAAATAAGCTGCCCTTCTTCTCCCCCTTGCACTTGGACTTCCTCTGTGTTTCTCGGAGAACCAGTTTCTAATCTGCGAAAAACAGTTTGGTGTAGTGGTTAAGTGCACAGACTCTAATCTGGGAGAACTGGGTTTGATTCCCCACTCCTCTACCTGCAGCTGCTGGATGACCTTGGGCAAGCCGTAGTTCTGGCACAGCTGTCCAGTTTCTGTCAGAGCTCTCTCAGCCCCACCCACCTCCCAGGGTGTCTGTTGTGGGGAGGGGAAGGGAAAGGAGTTTGTAAGCCGCTCTGAGACTCCGAGTGAAGGGCGGGGTATAAATCCAATCCTCCTCCTCCTCCTCCT